GGGTAAACTTGCTCTCATGGTCACTGAAATTTCCACTGTGGAAAGTAGTATGCTAGGTTTTGGGTCTTATCCAGCACAGCTCTACCAGTGTGCTCAAAAAGTCTGTAAAGGAAAGGACATCTGGCAGTAGAAGAATTATATGCTGTGGTTTTCAAAGGCTCAAGCTTCCCCAAGCTGCACACCTTCTGTACTTTAAAATCTGAAAGGTATGTGGGGAACAGAACATTTCTGGGATGCTGGGCAGGTGTTTTGCACATTCATAGGTGGCTTCTTAATCATTACTAATGTCTCATTTTTCATGACTGGGTCTCCTGGCATTTGAAACAAGTTCTAGGCTCAAACCCTAAGTCGTATTAAAATGGTGAAAATAAAATAAAAAGATGTTTTGACTTGGATAGGGCAGGTAGAGTTGTGTGAAAGTTAGTGACAACATTAGAAGAGTCCTGTTTGATGGCAAGTGAGGGTCCGTCTTGTTTAGAAATGTGTTTCTCTCCTGTATGAATGAGAGGAGGCATGTCTCTTTTCAAAGAGGCATTCTCTTTTGTATGGGAAATGCCACAACTCAGAAGAGGCTTGCCCTTGTGCCTGGCATGAACAGAGAATATATTGTTTTAAAAGAGGCATTTTCTCTCATGTGGGAGAATAAGAAGGGAAGTGACAGAGTGACAGGGAAGGAATGTCATATTTCAGAAGAGGCATTCTATCTTTCTGTCTGTGAGAGAATGGACAATAACTTGTCTTAGGAGTTTATCACATGGGAGGTTATGGGCCTTTACAGACTGCCAGAAATAATGCAACTTGAGTCCACTTTAACTGCCCTGGCTCAATGCTAGGGAATCAAGAGAATTGTAGTTTTTTCTGAGACATTTAGTCTTCTCTGTCAGAGAGTTCTGGTGCCACAATAAACTACAGTTCCCATGATTTCCTAGCATTGTGCCAGGGCAATTAAAGTGGACTCAAGCTGCATTATTTCTGGCAGTCTGTAAAGGCTCTAAGTGCCCAAATCCTGTGCAGAAATGGGATTTAAATCACAGAAAAATCCCACAAAAGAGGGATCGTTTTTAGACAACATCGGAGGTATTGAGCATTAACACAACATTAATCTGCACAGAAAGTGGACAAAATTGGCCACTTCAAAAGTAGAAAGCAGCTGATTTTGTCCACTTTCTATGCGGGTTAATGCTCATTGACCCAATGTTGTCTGAAAATGATCCCACTTTTGCAGGATTTTCCCACTTTTTGTGTGGGATGCCCCCCCCCGGTGTCATCTGAAAACGATCCCGCTTTTGTGGGATTTCCCCAATATAAATCCTGTTTCTGCATGGGATCAACTCATTGTGATAAACTCCTAAGTCGAAGGGAGCAGGGAAGTCTGTCATTTCAGAAAAGGCATTCCCTTCTTGGGTCTATTGAATGAACAGGGAAGAAATTATTGTAGAAGAGGTATTTTCTTTCATGTGAGAGAACAACAGAGGTGGAAAGCCTCATTTCAGTAGAGGCATTCCCTCCTTATGTCTGTAAGATAATAGGGGATAGTTAGCTCAAGAGATTTCCTCAAGACCATCTTTTCAGGGTATCACTGAATAATTCAACAGAAGCATAGGCACTCACTGTCTCCATCCATGTCATCATCACAGAGGTCTCCTTGTCCATCTCCATCACTGTCTTTCTGGTCGTTGTTCTTTACGTTGCGGCAGTTGTCACAGGCATCTCCAAAATTGTCCTGGTCACTGTTACGCTGGTCTGTGTTTCGTACAAATACACAATTGTCCTGAAAAGAAGGGAGAGATTACCAGTCATCGGGTAGTGTCATGCTTCAAGTGTGAGAAACCAGATGCAGGAACTAACTCCAAGGATGCCCAAATGCCGCCACGGTGTGAAAGAGTGTGCTGCTATTCCACTACCTTTGCAAGCACAGGAGGAGGAGTTTTCAAACAGAACAACCTAAAACAATAGCCTTGCACAAATGATTCAAAGATGTAAGTTCAAACCTCAGTGTTTGTTATCCCATCCCCATCAGCGTCGTCATCACAGGCATCGCCGATACCGTCCCTATCCACATCCTCCTGTCCAGAGTTGGGAACACTGACACAGTTGTCCTGGGGAAGGCAAGGAAGCAATGGTTGGATGTTAGAGGTACAGTGGTGGGGAGCAGAGGTTTGATATCTGAATTACTATTTTGAGAGTGAAAATAGGTATTTTGTGAAGGACGACCCAAGCTGAATCATGGATTGAAATACTCCTGGGGCTTTATGTAGCCTAAACAGGAGTTATACTAGCATAAGTACATAAGAAGGAGCCTTGGTGGTGCAGTGGTTAAATGTTGGTATTGCAGCCACGTTGTAAGTTCAATCCTAGAGGAGGGCTCCAAGGTCCACTCAGCCTTCCATGCTTTTGTAGGTCGGTAAAATGAGTACCCAGCTTGTTGGGGGCAGTTGGCTTACACATGGTCAACTGCTTAGGGAGTGCTAGTGCACTGATAAGTGGTATAGAAATATACTTGCTATTGCTGTTGCTACTGTCCATCATTCCTTATGGATATATCCAATGTCTCATTCTGCAACAGATTTTACTAGGCAGTGCAACGGCTGCTGGACGATGGCTTGGTGCAACAGACGGGAGTGCCTCACCCTGTACTGGGACCAGGTCATGTATCCCAATCTCAACCCCCTCAAACTCAGAGTGTGGAAGAGGAAACCCATGCCAACCAAACCGTAGATCAAAACCTTCCAACTCTAATAAATTATTGTGGGTTTTTTAAAAAAGTGTTATCCAGTCCTTTAATCAAACTAAACAACAAGCAGAAAGAAAAATACACTTTCAGCTAAGCCTCCTCTTTGTTGGTTATCTTGCAGAATTTTTAATCTGACTCTTAGCTTCTCTTGCCAAACAAAGTTCAAAATATCCTTCTACACCACTGTTTAAATGGTATATCGTCCATTAGTACAGGCATTGTTTGAAATAGAAATAAAATTTTAGGCAACAAATTCATTGTTATAACAAACATTCTACTCAGAAGTGACAACCTTACTTTTACTCCATTTTTGTCAAATTCTGTTTGACTTTATTCCAGACTTTGAAATAATTTAGAATTAGTATTAGAAACATTTACAGATAAATATTTTAACTTTTTAAACTCCATTCTCTCTGTTAATAAAATCCAGTGTTCTTTTTTCACATTTTTAACATCATTACTAATTAATATTTATTTATTTATTTATTTATTTATTTTAAAAACCAGCCAGTTCACCATAATTTTTAAAGCATACTATTCAAATACTATTCAAAAGAACGTACAAAATTCCCATTACACACTCTTGCCTTTCACCAGGGTTCATTTTTTAATAAGAGTTAAAGCACAGTACTTACATTGACCTGTGGATAAGTCAACTCAGGTTTTTTGGATCAATTTTTTGACTAAACTTTCTAGACTTATACATGAGTATATATAGTACTTCTCAAGGGATAACATGGTTGGGAATTCTAAGTGTTGTCATCTGCTGAAAAGTAATGGCCCCAAGGTCATGTTAAGATAATTGTAGATGCACACTCTGAAAGTCACTGAGCGCCTCTTACCTTGCGACACTTTTTGTCAGTGCAGCGAAGCTTTTCATCTGGAAAACCATCAATGTCTGTGTCCCGTCCACAGATGTAGCCATTTCCTGCCCAACCAACAATACACTGGAAAGAGAGGAAGACATAAACAGAGATGGCCCTTGACATTTTGCAGGTGAAAAACCCCTATATTGCTTCAAACTAGGCAGGACTTGGACTTGGAGGTAGGAGGTGCCTTCCACTGTACATGCCGACCTAGCGGGACATACACAGTGGTCCTTCCACATTCGCTGGGGTTCGGGGTGAAGGATGTTTATGAATGTGGAAAAACTGCAAATAGAAAAACACGATTCCTTTTGTCTAAGAGAACATCTCTTTAGAAATCACAAGGTCCTCAAGTACAACTCTATGGTCAACGTCTGCCAGATGTTGACCATAGAATCATGTTGGAGTACCTACAAATGTCTAGAGAAGTGGTTTTGTCTAGGAACTTCTAGGTCCTCCAGTACAACTCTATGGTCATCTTCTGGCAACATTGCGCTGGAGGACCGAGAGATTCCTAGAGAGGACATATTAATCAAAACCGCAAATAATCAAATCCGTAAAAGTTAAAGCTGCTAATGCAGAGAGCCAACTGTACTTCTTTACTGGAATAATCAGTAGTATCGGGGGGGGGGGTAATTTTGCTAGGCGTTTATGTTACAACTATTAGCATCACATTCAGTGTATTTGGGAATTATGATTTATGAGTAAGATTAGTGTAAAAAAATGTATACATTAGTGTATACATATGTGGGTGTGTAGATAGTGTATATATAAATATGTTTGTGTGTGTGTTTATATATATCTATGAGAGTCTGTGATAGAAGATGTCAGTGTGACTAATATGTTTAAGTTGTGGTTTATTCATATATGTGAAAATCAAGTAACAAAGAAAGAAAGCTTGCATCATGTATTTTGTGCATTCTGGCTGGCCCAGTAAAGGTTGCGGATTTTGGATGTCACTGTAATTCACTGCTGGGTATGCTTCCATATACACTAGCCTTTCTCTGTATCTTCCAGAGATGTTGGATTGCAACTCCTGTTATCACTGACCAGGCTGGCTGGCTGCAAGAGGATTTTTAGGGCAACACGTCCAGAGGGCTGACAAGTTCCATCAGGCTACTAACAGGTTTTTATGTTTCCATTTAAAAGGAAAAAGGCATGCTTTGAATCTGAAATCTTGAATTTCCCATTCTTAAAGAGGCTTCCAATCCCAAACTGTAAATATCGTAAATATGTTTCAAGTGGTTTTGGTTGTTTTTCGCCAAGTTTTAAATAGGCCTATTATTTAATTTTTTAAATGTTTGTAATCAATGTTTTATCTGTTAATCACTTTTTAAACTACTGTAAACCACCTTGGATCCTGTTTTGGTAGAAAGGCAGGATGTAAGGGCAATAAGACAGCCAGCATGGTGTAGTGGTTTGAGTGCTCGACTATGACTCTGGAGAACAGGGTACGAATCCCTGCTCGGCCATGTGGGTGACCTTGGGCAAGTGACACCATCTCAGCCTCAAAGGATGGCAATGGCAAAACCCTTCTGAAGAAACTTGTCAAGAAAACCCCATGATAGGGTTGCCATCAGTCATAAACTACTTGAAGGCACACAACAACAACAACCACATGTAATAAATAAATAAATAAATAAATGTCACATTGTAGGGATTGGTATTCAGAACCCCATACAAATACACACAAACACACACACACTCTTCTGATATTCAAATCTGTCCAAGGCAGTGTGGTGGAAATATTAAGAGTATTACACTGAGATCTGGGAGATCTGAGTTCAAGTCCCTCATCCCCTGTCATTCCCTCACTCTTTTTTGTTGTTGAAAGGATGAATTGGGGATGAGAGCACACCACAAAAAAAAGGTGGGATACTAACATAACTGAAGATAAATCATTACTCCTGATTCTCAATCACTATTGTGGGATCTCAGCAAAGAGACCAGCAAAAACCATCTGGACTCACCACGCAGGCAAGTGTCCCATCCCGCTCCACAATGCACTCTGCTTTTTCATGGCATGGGCTGAGTTCACCATTGGGGCATCGCCGTTCAGCCTTGCTCCGACAACCGGAAATCTGGTCCCCCACGAACCCAGTCTTGCACGCCCCACATTTGTAGGAGCCCTGTTGGGAAAATCATGCTCATTTGGGGAAACATTATGAGGACCAGCTGCATAGCCAAGCAAATTTCCATTCCACTACTTTTACCCCATGCTTCCCTTGGAGAATGTGTAAAACCTGTCCCATTGTTTTTATAGAAGGTTTTCCACGCCCGTCTACTCTAGTATTTGGAATAACAGGGAGGACAAGTGGTCAAGGGTCTGCAGTCAAGTCCCATCTGGAAGAGCTATCAGGGTATGTTTAGTATGGAGAAGAGAAGAGTGAGAAAGGAGAGGAGAGGTAGATGGATGAAGGACTGTCATGTAGAAGATGATGGAGAGAACTTGTGCACTGGACTATTACCCGGGTGTTGATGCAAATGGAATTTGGAACACAGGCTCTGGCTGTTCCTGATTCGCATTCGTTGATGTCGTTACAAACCTGTTTGTGGGAGAGGAAAGGACACATGAGAATGGAGAGAAATCTTGTCTACTTGGCAACTTCTTTATTTCAGTTAATCTCAAAAGTGCTACAAGATCTCTCTACATACTGGTTTTACAGACTAATATGGCTATATCTTTGAATTTAACTTCACTGTGTGATCATGGGCCAGTCACTCTCTTTCTCTCTGACACCCTCACCTACCTCATAGGATTGTTGTCAGGTTTCTAAAACGTGGAGAACCCATATATTCTGCTTTGAACTCCTTGAGGGAAAGGCACAATAGAAATGTAAAAAACTAACAAATCGATTTTCCTGTTTAATATAATGCCAAGCTACCTGCCATTCCAATTTGTTTCCCTTTGCAATACTGCCTTAAATTTTCTTTATAGTTCCTTAGAGTTAACGGAACACTGCTGGGGTGCACTGAAGTGCACTCTGGTTTCATGCACTATCCGTCAAGAATGAAATCCATTGCTTTGCTCTCCTGTGTTTAAAGAATCCACATATATTTTTAAAAATCTCAAAAAAGAGACCTCCCCACTCCAATCCCCACCAATTTGTGGGTTTTTTAAAATATAAAGTAATTATTATGTGATCAAAGGATACACCTCTCCCCGAATCCTCATAGTAGTTACCTGCTTGTTAGCCCTGGCAAAGGCTAAACCCACTCCTTCGTGCACTGGCCCAGTATAACCAGGAGGGCATCTCTCACACCGGAAACCAGGTGCTGTATTGACACACTGGACTCTAGGAAAGCAGGGATTTGCTGTACACTGCAATGAATGAATGAATGAATGACTTATCTGATGAGATCACAAGTGCAAACCACTAAGTAGAACAGTTCCCTCACCCATCTGACTCCAAGCTGTGACAATGTGACTGGTGGACATAGCTATGAACTAGACTTCTCTTGGGTTAAAACTTACCCGAGCCCCACAAACTTGCCAGGGTGGAGTTGGAAGCTCATTCCAAGAGTTTGTTGACATTGGACCTTATCACACGGGGTCTAAAGCAGACAGAACCCCATCCCATTGCGGTTTTTTTCCCCGTGTGTTCACATGACGTCGCACAGAACCCCGTCCCATCCCCGTCCCATTGCGGTTCCTTTTCCCGTGTGTTCACACGACGTCGCAGAGAACCCCATCCCATCCCCGTCCCAATGCGGCATCATCCCCGTTCTTTTGAATGCCGGTTTCCTGGGGAATTACATTTGCGCGACCAGAATGATATCGCAATGATGCTGCTTTCGTTCATTGCAAAATGATGCTAGTTGCCTCTGATAGCAATTTCCGTCTTGTGGGGTCTATACCGGTATAGTTCTGGATTGATTCCATACCGCTTTCTTGCCGCTTTGAGACCCGCGTGTGATAACGTCCATTTACTGAACAGCACTAAGGTGCCTTGAAATGCACTGTTTGGCACAGTTCTTTCAGTTTCATATGTCAAAGCAATTGCCCATCTCTTCTGGGGAATTAATACTTTCTTTAAGCAAAGGAAGAGAACCTGTGGTATTTCAGAGACTGCTCTCATCATCTTTAACTTTAGGCATACTGGCTGGAGGCTGATTGGAGCTGGATTCAAATAACAACTCAAAGCCTGCAGGTTCCCTCACCCCTAGTTTAAAGGACTGAGAAAAAGATTGAAATCTATGAAAGGTCTCAATCCCATGCACCAAGCCCTGTCACCACTCAAAACTACAATATGAATGCTAAGAATCCTTGTCCTACCTTTAAAAAACAGATTTAAAAAAAAGGAGAAAAATAAAAAGAAATAAACAAAAATAGGGGGGAAGCAGACAGGATATGAAAACTGGCTAAATGTAAAGTACGTTAATCAAAAATACGCTTTCTTGAAAAGGATGTCTGTAAAGTACATGTTCGTAGGTAGATGTTGTCCCACCTAACAGGGCTGTTGTAAAATTTGCAGAAAGAATCTATACAAAGTGCTTTTGATACTTGAAAACAGTGGCTTCCAAACTGATGTTCAATGGAACTGAAGGGGAGAAGGGAGGTTTCTGTTTCCATATGACAGATTTCTCTTCCCACTCCCTTTTCCATTCCTTATCTATCCCCCCGCCACATTTCTAATCTAATCTAATCTAATCTAATCTAATCTAATCTAATCTAAAGGGAGTTGTATTTCATTTTATATGATAAAACCAGAGATCCCCAAACTCTGATCCTACAGATATTTCGACTTCAGCTCCCAGAATTCCTGACTGTTGGTCAAGCTGGCTGGGGCTTCTGGGAACTGAAGTCCAAAATTCCTGGAGGACCAAAGTTTGGGAACCACTGTACACCTTGATCTTATGTGAGGAGGAAAAGGGCCCCCCAAAGAGCTGCCAGGGATGGGCTGCAATCCTATATGGTTCATCATGGGCTGAACCCTACAACAACCTCTGTAGCTATTCCATACTTTATAGGGCTTACCAAAGCATCTGGATATGTCCCGTAGCCAGATGCAAACTGATTATGGCAGATCTCGCTGCAGATGTCACCATTTTGCTTCTGACTATGGACGTTATCACACGGGGTCTAAAGCAGACAGAACCCCGTCCCATCCCCGTCCCATTGCGATTCCTTTTCCCGTGTGTTCACACGACGTCACAGAGAACCCCGTCCCATCCCCGTCCCAATGCGGCATCATCCCCGTTCTTTTGAATGCCGGTGTCCTGGGGAATTACATTTGCGCGACCAGAATGATACCGCAATGATGCTGCTTTCGTTCATTGCGGAATGATGCTAGTTGCGTCTGATAGCAATTGCCGTCTTGTGGGGTCTATACCGGTATAGTTCTGGATTGATTCCATACAGCTTTCTTGCCGCTTTGAGACCCACGTGTGATAACGTCCTATGACAGCTGCTTCTGTGATTGCTATGAAGCAAGGAATGGCTTTAAAGGCCACTCAGTAAAGCGCCAGGGATGGAGGAAAGGAACACCAATCCCTGCATCACCCCCAAAAGGACATAACACAAGTGTAAGGGAAACGTAACACATGCATAGATTCCTAATAAGATGCCAACCACAGTGTGTGAAGTGTGTAAACCTCAAGCACATCCCAGAATTCCTAGAATTGCTAACTTGAAAGCTTCCCCTTAGAGTTGGAAGTCCATTTTAATTATCCAAGCCAACTGTAATTTTAGGGAAGTGTGTGGAGCCCTGGTGGGGCAGTAGTTAAATGCTGGTCCTGCAGCCACAAGGTTGTGAGTTTGATCCCAGTGCCTCCAAGATTGACTCAGCCTTCCAATCTTTCGTAGGTCGGGCAAATGAGTACCCAGCTTGTTGGGGGCAATTGGCTTACAGATCGTAAAATGCTTAGAGAGTGCTGAGTTCACTGATAAGCAGTACAGAAATGCTATAGAAATGTAAATGCTATTGCTATTGCTATTGTTTTTTGTCCCACCCAGGCTACTGTGGAGAGGGAGGAAGATGTAGCAGAAGGTTGCTTATCCCTAACTGTGCATTCCTTTATTTTAAAAAAAAAAAAAAAAAAGAGCCCATGGGCAATTATTTGCCCATCAGAAGGCATCCTGACCTCATTAATGTCAGTGCAGTGAGTCCCGTTGCCAGTGTAGCCCAGAGGGCAGGCGCCACAGCGGAAGCCGGTGGGGGTATCCATGCAGGTGACCCCAGGGAAGCAAGGGTTGGGGTAACACCGGTTAAGGGGTGTCAAACTGATGGGGGGCCCAGTCGCTCCTGTATTCATCCCTGGAAAGAAAGACATTTTAAAAACTTCAGAAAAATTGGGATGACAGAGGATTAATTAGGACTTTTCCTGCCAAATTAGGATGGTTGGAGAATATAATTTCACTGTTCTGTTGCATATTGCTCATGTTCTCCAGCTTGCTTTCCCCTATGCCCAGGATACAGTTACACACACACCCCATGTGCTAACTGGGAATAGAGATTATTAGAAAATATTC